AATTTTAAATAATTTAATTTTAAATTTGCTAATTAGTCTCGAAAATATTTAACACTTTCCGTGCCACTTATGTCATACGTTAAACTTTTCATTCAAGCCGTGTGTACCACCTGTTGACATATTTTTTGACATATTTTTGACATATTTACTTAATTCGTCAAAACGTCAAAAAGGTTCGAATGAAAATTCGAACAAAAACTAAAACGATTCGTCACGGAAAAGCGTTAATTAGCTAACGATCTTACCATTGAGAACCACTGTTACGAATACACATCAAAGCGCGTTGAATCTTACTCATTGGAAAGTTTTCTCTTGAGAGGTATTTTTTTCTCAACTACAACGAGCTCTCTTACGTTTGTTAGAGTCACCTGTCGTCGTAGTCGTCTCGTGGTGAACTCACCACATTCCACAAACCCTCGTGCGTACCTTCTGTTACGATATTCATGGAGGGGTAAAAAAGGGAAGCAGGTAAAAAAAAGAAAAGAAAAAGAAAGAAAAATTAAAGGAAACATCCTGGGGTACGTGTCCGGTGTCAAAAAGTCATCGAAACGTTTTCCACTCTGTTTCCAATTTTGTATGGATGTTAACTTTTAACAAAGAAAAGGCGTTCACCTAGCTCAGCTGGATATTAAACACTCATTTAACGAAAACCTATCGAAATATTCGTTTGAATAGCTTCATCTTCAATTATTGACCGAATAATTGGTTAATAACCGGGAAAAGAAAACATAACGGGAGCACTGTCAAAAGTGAGAAGTTTATTTTTCTTTTTGTTTCTATTTTGTTTGGTGATCAATCTTGTTAACAAGTTGTTGTTTGTTTACTCTGCTGTTATAAAATTCATTCTGATTTTACTATTCAATTTTTGTAAAGGGAAATCTTTTATAAAATAAATTGTAACCACTAAATATAAATCATTAAATAAACATTACTATTATTTTAAGAAAACAAATTATTTCGAATTATATTTTTACATTAGTTGTAGCTGAACTTTTGTTCTTGACTGTACACAAGATTGACGTATTGATTAAATAATTAATATTAAAATTCATAAATATATATATATATACATACTTCTAAAGTCAAATTAATAATTAATTAATTAATAAATATTCAATATTACTGAATAAACTCTATTAATTCGAACTAAAATTAATCATTATTATACACTAATTATAATATCATTATGATAAACAAAAATAAAAA